ATTGGTCCGTTTCATCTAAATTTTCAAATTTGTGAACATAAAGTTGTACAGAATATACTCCTTATCAGTTTTAATTATTTTAAACTATTTTCCCCCAAATTTTAATTATAAGTTATTGTCAAAATAATATAAACCACTATCTTTTCAGTAAATTCCTTTCCCCCTTAGTCAGAATCGGATTCTCTTGCATATAAACAAAACACCCTAACTAACGCAGGTATTATCCAGAAAATGGAGAGACACTTGTATGTTGTTGCAGCAAATTGGTTTTTAACAAATTTCCACAAAATAACTTGTTCCTTCTCTTTCCTGAGATATACCTAAGGTCTGATTTAAGAGGCATGAGCGAAGGCCCTCCTGTTTCTTTTCAATACACCTGTAACCAATATGCTCCCAGCAATGGGAACCAAAAAAATGTTGCTACAACTCATAAAATGTTTCGACAGAAATAGATTAGAAATTACCTGCTTTTGGGGAGTGACTGCAAACAAATCCCAGGGAGAGGAAAGAGAGTAAGAGAGAGGAAGGGAGAGAGGGAGGGAGGAATGCTTTCTCTTTGAACTGCTTCAAATTCAGAATCTCTTTCCAGCTTTGGATTTTTCCATATAGAACTTGGCAGCGGGATAGCACGAAATTATACTATCGCTATTAATTTTGCATATATTCTTAAAAAATAAGAATTATTTGCATTTTATAATTTTTAATAATCCAGTTTCCTAAAAGCTAGAGAAAAGAAAAATACATGCGTGGTTTTGGCGTCCTCTGCTGGTCATTCATATATACTTTAGGTTTTACACAGAGAACAAAACCAAGACAACTATTTTTCAAATGGATTTGGGATTTTTTTTAAGATTATTTAAGTGTGAATAAGATGAGATTTTTCCCTCTTCTTTGAGATAAAAGATTATTTACTCAAAAGTTTATTTCATTTTTTAATTTAATGTTTTCAAATTTATGATAGACTTCAATTTGGTAAACATATTTTAATTTTGGTAACTTTTCTTAACTTCAAAATCATAACTGAAGACAAAGAATAAATTTAGGAAAAAAAAATTTAGAAGACATTTTGGATAAAACGTCTGATTCCCAGTATGTCTCTTTCTTTGTCTGTGGTGAAGGGTCCCGGTTATGTAGACCGATGCCATTCCATATTCCGATGACAGTGCCTTTCCTCAGTCCAGTCAGTTCCTCAGCTATTCTCCGCAGCAGCTAT